AACAGGCCGTGAAGGCCCATAGGGTTGTGAGACGTTGAGGGTCCCACATTATCTAGACAATCGGCTCAAAGATGGCGGTAAGGTTGTCAGCCTTACGCGGCGGCCGTGCTTTACTCCCCAGGACAATTATTTAATTAATTCCTAGTACTCATTTCTGTTAGAGGCTGAGTCGACCCCAGGACCATAGCGCGGCTGGAAGGATTAGGTCAATTGAACAAAATCCAGCGACCTTATCGGGACTTGAACCCGCGACCTTCCGACTTGTAGCATAGCCCCTCAACCAACTACGCTACAGCGTGCCCCCCAAGAAGATCAAGACACGCGTTAATATCACAGTGTTAATAACTTGCGTTTTATGACTTCGGGTTTTCTTAAGAAGAATTTTATATTTATCCATTCAGTTTGAAATAAGGTTTTCCGTCATTTATATCCATTTCCCATTTTTATATTAATTTGGTTTATAGCCTTAAAATGGCAGCTACAGCTGCAGCCACGTGCTATAGCTGGTTCCTCGCTCGCGGATTTTCTACCCTGAAAATTGAGGCGATGTATTCCTCCGAAACGTCAGTTCACACAAGATCTACACAGCGCCACATTTCATACTGTTTACATTCCTTAGTACTGACAAAATTTATATTGAGATATACTAAAATTTCCTTTATTTTATTTGCTTTTCTTTCGACAGTACATCAAAATATACGCGATAACATCTGTGCCATAGTCGCTACTGCATTGCATTATGCGCTTAGAGCAGCATCAAATTCGGTTCTGCTCTCTGAATGCAGGGCTCAAAGTGCTGGAAAAGTCCACCCCTTCCTTTCCCTGCACAAGACAAAATACACATGACTTTAAACTGATGATCGTTGCTGAGCGTATGAATGTTGTTCTTCCAAATCCGATTTCCGTGTCGGGGGATTGAGATGGGGAGAGGTAATCTGCAGCTGGGAGAGGGGGTTGCCCTGCACAAAACGCACTGGAATTAGTGCCTAATCTCATTCACCGTAGTATGTGTAAAGAACCGTTATCATGTGGCCCAGAGGAATTAGAAGCCTTAGTAACAAGCGTTGCACCAACTACGGTTATTCGTCCGTTACTCTTCCCACTCGATTAGCAATTAACCTCAGAACGACATACAGTAAGTAATGATAGAACGTCCAGAGGTGAAAGTAAAGTCGCGTTTTTGCTTAATTAAACACCACGCCATGAAGACGTATGGAGGAGTGTAGGTATAGACCCATGCATTATTAATTTCGTCACTAAATGTAAGTGTTCCTCTTTTCGCCGCGGACATTTTACCTCAGCGGTAAGAATCCTCGATACACATTTGATTGTAGGCTACCTGAGCCCAGTGAAGTAGCGCTGAGGTGGCCCTTAGATTATCTTGTGGTAGCCCAGTGACTGCTTCTACCGTTACACAGCAGTTTCATTAGTGCCAATTTAAAATGTCATGTGTCTTGGTAAGGCGACAAGTAATTAATGGGTTCCGGATGAGATGAATGGATTCGTTTGATATTCACCAGGCGGAACTATAATTAGTTGTAACACAATCTTACTGTAACTATAACGCTTCGTAACTACGAACAATGATAAAACTCTAAAGGTTACTGTAACTACACCACATAAAATAAAGACATCACTTATGACTTCTTCTGTCTTCCGTTGGTCAATTCTCTCCTTGAGGTAGGTTCAGGTCGAAACTTACGGAGATCACCTCCTTCAACAGTCGAGTTATCGCGTTCTGCGCTGTTACTGTGCTTTGAAGGTTCGTTGCCGTGTGAAAGGAAACGTTTTTATATGCATTGATTAGGAATCGACGTGACTCTTTACGCATTGCATTGCTTCTTCAGTCGTATTCGTTGCCGTGGAAATATGATTATCGAGCCGTTGGGCTCCTGGCTCTGCCTCCACTATTGCGGCTTTCAGGCGTCATGTCACCCATTAGTTCCAGGGTCTTCTAAGAACCTTGGTCTCCTTTAGGATAAATTCCTTTCCTTCCTTACTATTTGCTTTTTGCCTTCAGCTCTAGTAAATCATTCTCAAGCCATCTATATTTGGACCTTCCCATGTTCTTTTTTCTTATCGCCTACCCCTAAAAAAATTCTTTTTATTAAAACTTTTTCCTAACCATTGCTGTGTTTTAATGCGTGTTAACATTTAACAAATGAGAGCCAACCAAAGTTTGCAGTGCCAATCCATTTTTATTAGAATTTTATAGAATGAGTTTCGTAATCCATTGTTAATGCTTCCCCCGTTTTGTTAGTTGGAGGGATGCATGAATTTATATGTGCAAAAAGAGAAGCCGGATTAGGTGGCTGGCGACGTGTTGTGGTAGACGAATTCTGTGTGTGTGTAGCAAGGTAATACCTTTGCATATCAACTTGAGTTTTGTTGCTGACTTCACGCCACATATTCAACAAGTTTTCATTGCTTTGCACAATTTATATATGTAATTATATCTATATTATAAAAATTTCTTTGCTTTGCAGTGTAGAATTACAAGCTTTTTCCTGTGGAATATGGAAATATGGGCGTCAGTTTATCTATTTATATTTTATGATGGACGAAATATGAACAAAACCTATTACAATTTATGTTCTAGTGATAATATTTATTTATTCAGGGACAGTGCTGTTAAGTGCTTGAGTACTGAATTAATTAATTAACATGCCAACTGTATATCTTGTTGAGATATGTATGTGGAACCACACGGTTCAGCACCATGTTTATGAAAATTCTAAACTAGGCCCTATTCTGAGCCACATAAATCCAGTTAACACTTTCATATAATATTTCTCAAAAACACATTTTAAATTATACTCCATCTAAGTTCAATTCTCCAAATATATTTTCTCTTAAAATTTCACAGAAAAAATAACATAAAAATTTAGTTTCCTTGGTTCGTATTGACCCGAGTGGGGTGTCAGATACGAAGCCTCCCAATTTAAAAACGAAGGAAATAAAGGAATGTGCCCTTTGGTTAGGTTGTAGCAATACGCAGAGGGTGATGATGCAGGAGTATGAAGCAATAGTTGAATGATGATTAGAGGGAGAAACTGAGGAAACTCAAGAGAGGAACCTGCTCCAGTACCACTTTATACAGTAACAATCTCATATTAAGTAACCCTGGACTAAACCTGGGTCTCTGAAACGGGAAGCCAACATCGAATTGCCTTAGGTAAAGCACGAATGCGTTTATAAGATTAGTTTATAATTATTAAGATATTTGCTTTTGCCTGTCACGTTTAGTGTAATTAATTTGTATAAAATGAATATTTAAGAGCATATTTAGATCTTCATGTAAAGTTATAGTTAATATTCTTTACTCGACAAACATGAATACATTTCAATCAGATCTCCATGTGTAACACTTCATGAAAAACAATTCATTCAGAGCACCCTATTAAGAGTGCAGGCATACTGGGGCACAATTGGATTGACATGTCGAAGATAACAGGCGAGAGCAGTCGAGTTTCATCTGTTTCTTTATTTAATTACGACTTCTCAAATACACAGGGTATATTGAGTAGAACAGGAGATGTTGCGGATGATGAATTACACTGAAAATGGTCGTGACTGTAATTTAAGACATTACCCAGAACTTGCTTGAAGGAACTGAAGAGAGATATGAGACAATGTATTGAACCCGGGACTATCAGAAATGAAACGGAACTTTTAATCACTTGACTGCAATATTAGACATCGTTGATTACAGACCGATTATAAATCGATCTCTCCAGCTAAAAATAAGTAAGGTAAAGCTATCCCTGTAACAAGCCGTGAAGGCCCATAGGGCTGTGAGACGTGGAGGATCCCACATTTTCTCTTAGACAATCGACACAAAGATGGCGGTGAGGTTGTCAGCCTTACGGTCCGGCCGCCCTTCACCCCCCAGGAAGATTGCTGGTACTCATTTCTGTTAGAGGTTTAGTCGACCCCAGGGCCATAATTCGGATGGAAATATTATATAAACTGAAAACAAAAATTCACCTGTAAGTTTTGAGGTTTTCACGGCGATGACTATGGAGAAAGTCGTCTTCTGGGTTTAGGCGCCGTTTATTCTTCGTTTTGGCCGACGTTTCGGAGGAACGTATCGCTTCCATCTTCAGAGCATGTGAATGGCTTGTGAATGCAGAGAGCAGTAGCGTAATGATTAGGAAGTGAAAGGCGCTGCTTTATATAGGAAGTAGGCGGGGGGGTTAGGGAGAGCGGACCAATATGAGCATTGGAGAGCGATTAAGGCCATATATGGTGTTGTGTTCTGGGGGGGGGGACGGCCAGTGAAACCAGGAAACTGGAGGTCAATAGCACTTGGAGGTTGCGGTTAGACAAGAAGAACTTGTTGGCTGGGGACAGGCTACTGACGTCAATGACATGATTACAGGGGACAGGCTACTGACGTCAATGACATGACGAAGAACTGGGGTGGCTTGTTGGAGTTCTCTTGAGGGAAGAGATGAGAGGCTTCCATGACTTGTTGAGACAGAATCCTGTTTCCTTGTTCATGTTGTTCGGATGGAGCTCGATCTCAACGGCCTCCATGATTATGCGATCTAGGTAACGGCTCTTACTGGTGATTATGGCGGTTTTGTGAAACTGGATTCGGTGGTCTAGATCGATGCTGTGTTCAGCTATGGCTGACTTGTCCGGATGTTCTAATCGTAGATGCCATTGATGTTCTTTCAACCTGGTGTCCACAGAGCGGCCCGTTTGCCCGATGTAGACCTTGCCGCACTCGCATTGAATTCTGTAAATTCCCCGTGTCCTCAGTCCCAGGTGATCCTTGACAGGCCGGAGGAAATTAGATATTTTCTTTGGGGGCAGACCAACTGATTTGATGTTGTGTAGGGACAGCACTCTGCTGATCCTGTTGAATATAGTCCCGACAAAGGGCAAGAAGGTGACAGTGTCTCTGCGATCATCATGTTGATTGTTGTTGGGATGGCGGTTGAGGGCCCTGTGGATCTGCCGGTCGTTGTAGCTATTCCGTCTGAGGATGTCCTTCAGGAACTCCCACTCCGCACACAGAATCTCTTGATCGCACAGAGCTCTGGTCCTGTGTACCAGTGTGGAAAGAGCTGCCTGTTTACTGGAAGGGTGATGATGGACCTGGCATTGAGATAGAGGTTGGTGTGTGTGGGTTTGCGGTATACTCTGTGGCCTAGAGAGCCGTCGGGTCTGCTGTAAATATCTATGTCTAGGAAGGGGAGGTGGCCTTCACTTTCGGTTTCCATGGTGAACTGAATGCATAGGTTGATACTGTTTAAGTGGTTCAGGAAACCCTTCAGGTTGTCAGGTCCGTGGGGCCAGATGACGAAGGTGTCGTCCACATATCGAAACCAGCATAGGGGCTTGTGTGGGGCCAAGTCCAGCGCCCTCTCCTCAAAGTCCTTCATGTAGAAGTTAGCGATGACCGGAGATAGTGGAGAGCCCATGGCTACACCGTCAGTCTGTTCGTAGAACTGGCCATCGAAGCTGAAGTAGGATGTTGTTAGGACATGGCGAAAGAATCTCAAGACATCTTCGGCGAAGTTTCCTCCTAGCAGATTCATAGTGTCCTTGATTGGCACTTTGGTGAAAAGCGACACCACATCGAAGCTAACCATTATATCATGAGGGTTTAATCGGAGGGATTTTATGGTGTGGACAAATTCGGCAGAGTTTCTCACGTGGTGTGGGAAGTAACTGGTGTAGTTGTTAAGTAGGCCAGCCAAATGTTTGGGCAAGCGATAGGTGGGGGAGCCAATGGTGCTGACAATTGGTCGCTCTGTGGACACCAGGTTGAAAGAACATCAACGGCATCTACGATTAGAACATCCGGACAAGTCAGCCGTAGCTGAACACAGCATCGAGCTAGACCACCGAATCCAATTTCACAAAACCGCCATAATCACCAGTAAGAGCCGTTACCTAGATCGCATAATCATGGAGGCCGTTGAGATCGAGCTCCATCCGAACAACATGAACAAGGAAACAGGATTCTGTCTCAACAAGTCATGGAAGCCTCTCATCTCTTCCCTCAAGAGAACTCCAACAAGCCACCCCAGTTCTTCGTCATGTCATTGACGTCAGTAGCCTGTCCCCTGTAATCATGTCATTGACGTCAGTAGCCTGTCCCCAACCAACCGGTTCTTCTTGTCTAACCGCAACCTCCAAGTGCTGTTGACCTCCAGTTTCCTGGTTTCACTGGCCGTCCCCCCCTCCCCCCAGAACACAACACCATATATGGCTTTAATCGCTCTCCACTGCTCCTATTGGTCCGCTATCCCTAACCACCCCCCTTGCCTACTTCCGATATAAAGCAGCGCCTTTCACTTCCTAATCATTACGCTACTGCTCTCTGCATTCACAAGCCATTCACATGCTCTGAAGATGGAGGCGATACGTTCCTCCGAAACGTCGGCCAAAACGAAGAATACACAGCACCAAAACCCAGAAGACGACTTTCTCCAAAAATTCACCTCTTCGGTACTCGAATCCACGACTTTCCGGCTTGTAGCATACTGCCTCAACCAACTATGCTACCGTTTGCCCCCCGGCTTTCCCAGTGAACTGTTAATTTGCGTTTCTAAGTAAAAGAATTGAATAAATCTGTCATCTGTCATTTGGCGAAATAACGAATGGATTATGTCTGTGTGTGTATTAGAATTTTATTAAAATTACTTATTAATTAATCAGTTAATTTGTTTTTCTAGGTAAAGGGTTTTAGTAAATCAGTCACCAATCAAATGACGAAATAAAGATAGGACTAGGGCTGCGAGTGTATGTTAGAAGTTTATGAAAACTGCACATTAATTTAAAAATCCCTTTTTTTATTACGGCTATCATGAATAAACAAAAGGAGAGTCAGAGAGACAAACACTGTGTGACACAACGTGACATGGTCACCGATGTTTCAACACCAGGGCATGCATAATAAATGCAAGTCACGTGACATCATCAGTCATTCCTTCTAAAAGTACAGTTAAATTTGTGTCTTTCGGTGTGATAGTGTGAATAAAAAAAATCTTTATTTAGCAAAACTTTCACAGAACATGTGATATTGTTTGTGAGTGAAATGTATTCATGCAAATCTCGTATAGTAAATATTTATATATTTCTGCCTTTAATATTGTTCTTGGCATTTTCCTTTCCAGTACACAGAAAATATATCATACAAAATTCGTAGATATTACAACTTTTCTTTTATGTGACCATTTCCGTCGGATCTCTGTGAAGTACAGGATATAACGTGGATCTGTATAGTTTATAAATGATCAACTTTTAGTCAATATTCTCTGTAATCATCTTCTGGAAAATTATCGTATTAAATTTCAACCTATATATAGAATATGGTCATGTTTTAAGCAGAAACTGCCTTCTAAAAGAATTTATCGAAGGAAAGATAGAGGGGCGGATAGAAGTGACAAGAAGACGAGGAAGAAGACGTAAGAAGATGCTGGATGACCTTGGGGACAGAAGAGGATACTGTCATTTGAAGGAGAAAGCTCTAGATCGCATTAGGTGGAGGAATTGTTTTGGAAGAGACTGTGGACCTGTCGTCTTGACAGATTACTGATGATGATGATGATGATGATGATATAGAATACTATTATGTACTATGTTGTTCAGTTCGTACGTAAGTACATAACCATAAATAAGGACATATCACAAGACACAACACACACAAAATATAGGAAGAACGACTCCCATATTGGTAGAAAGATGTAGTACGAGAATTTGAGATAAGACGTGTAAGATGATGGATATTAACAAATTTTGATACATATAAATTTTATTATAGCTAGTGAAGAGTGTGCATTTTAGATAATTTTATAAACGACACATGATGGTGAGCAATGCAATAGCTTAACTTAAATAACACACCTGAGGATGGCACAGTGAAGCCGAAACATGAAGTGAAGTGACATGTGAGATTGAGTGCACTACAAGATGGCCAATACATACACATCATGTACGCGAATCAGTTCAACAGGACGCTAAAATACATTATAAATAAGAAAATTACGAAACCCTCAGACAGCAGGGCGTGTCTCCCGACCAGACAGGAAATCGGCAACTTCTCAGTAGGGATCAGGCAATGTAAGAGCTTAACTTTTGTAACTTAGACAAAAAGTTATAAAATTCGCCTATTAACTTCGTCATGTCTGTGTGTCCGTATGTATAATTAGGGGAATTTCTGAACGGATAATTATCAGAAATGATTTAGGAGAAGGGTTGTATCTTCTTGGATATAACGCCATGTAGTCCAGCGAAAGCCACCAGCTGCCTTCTTCAGGCTGGTTTCTTACTTTGTTTACTCTTCAACGCTGAAGATGCTGGCTACTTATACGTTTCTTCCAACTAAGACTTGTTTATGCATATCAATATTGGTTCAAATCGGACAGTAATAATGGTCAGCATACTAAACATGCCTCAAGTGCAATTCTTTGAATATTTGTCGTAGTGAGGATTCTTTCGGCAAAAGAGGCGGAAAGACATGATGGACAGATTTTGTGCCTAATACAAGTTTTCTGAAAGTCTTGTTTCTTTTATAATTAAACGAAAGAGTATAAGATCACCCACCGATGGTGTCTCCAATTTATCGTGCTGTGGGGTTTGAGTGCTCCTGAGACCCTGAGAGCTATGCCGGCGGTAGCGTAGCTACTGATAGGGTCACCCATGCCGGACAGGTGAAGGGGTAGGAGCTAGATGAAGAGCGATATCCTGGTCCTTCAGGTTGGGGGTTGGGCGTGAGACTAGAGCCTCACACCATAAAAATTAATTGTTCAGAAACCGGACAATCAGCCTCGGATTGATTGAACGGAAATCGGCATGAGCGAAGGAGCTGAGATGGTTGGAGGATTTCCATGATCTCCGTAAAATGAAAGTGAAAGGAAACAGAGAAGAATGGGAGCAGATTTTTCAGGAAGCCAAGGCTTACCCTGAGCTGTAGCGCCGAGGGGAAGGAAGGGAGGAGTATAAGATCCAAAATGTTATGTTATTTGTATATTTCCATAGTTATTAAATTATTTTTTAGATGAATTTCATGTCTTAAAAGCTTAAAATAAGGTAAAATAATATATATTAATAATAATGAATAAGTAATTACCGACTCAAATGCATAAAATATGGAGGACAAATTTGAACTAAGGGTTGTGTTTGCGTTGAATAGTAAATTAACTCATCTCAGCTTTAGCCCAGTAAACAGAAGAACAGGACAAGTGAAACGTAAAGATAACCTCAGGCAGCTTCTGGGTTTCAATTTCCTCTTTAATATTTTCTATTGTACAACAGCCGAAGTTATCTGACTTACGAATGTAGTTTCCAAAAAGTTTAATGTTTCTACCACTAATGTGTACAGCTACTTATTACAAGAAATGCCATTAAGATTATGATATAATGAAGAAATGTCATAGTGAATAGAGAGAGGTCTTATTTTCATAGAACATTTTCACACCTCGTAAAAGCAAAACTTCTTTATTGAGACCAGTAAAAAGAAATATAGTCGGAAGCCTGGCACGTCTTGCCAGAGCAGATAATGATGGCGGCAGCTTGTTCTTGTCCACATAAAAAAAATAGCTAACGGCTTATTAATGCATCATTCCTTTTTTATTGTATTACAGATAATAAAAGGACCAAAGAAAGAGGATGATGTATTGTGCCAGATGAAGGTGGCTTCAGTAAGGATGCTGACACGTGACGGAGTGGGGGGAGGGAGGCCACTGCACGTCAGATTCCAACACGGGTTCCCAAACTTGTCGAACAATGTAAAGAATTTATTACTCAAGGGTAGAAGGCTTTAACAAATGAGTTATATGAACTCCATATCACGAATTCAGGTAAAGAGCAAGGTAATTGGAAGTCGAATTTAATTGATTCTAGAGTGTTTTTAGCTCAGTAAGGAGATTCTACTTGTTTTTCAAACCAAAAGATTTGTATGTTTATTTTCCGCCGAAATAATTATCCAGTTTTTGCCCCAAGAAAAGGCATCTGGAAAGAATTAAGAGGCTGCAACTTACGATGCACACAAATTTGCAAAAATTGTTATACAGTGCTGTATTGAATAATCTACATTTTTTAGTATAATGCTGGTTAAATGGCTGAAGTTTCTGAACACGTTAACAGAGCTTGACCGCTATAATGGAGGTATTTTAATATAGGAAATGAGTGAATATACTTATGCAGTTTTCCATCGCCATCTTTAAGCCGATTGTCTAGATAATGTGGGACCCTCGACATCTCACAACCCTATGGGCCCTCATGGCCTGGTACAGGAATAGCTTTACTTTTACTTTACTACGTTTACTTGTTGTGGTACCAACGTCGTGAACGAGCCAGTAGCAATTCTGATTCATTTTCAGGAGGTCCCGATTTCAGATCTCGGCATGAACACTGGCTGTAGTGACGGAGGTTCTCGTGGTTTCCCTTAATCCCGCCTGGAAATTGTCGGGATAACATATTGAAAGTAGGTCACGACCACTTAGTTCCACATTTTCCCCAACGAATTATTCAATAATCATGCCATAATTTTGGGATTACTTCCTTTTGAGATAATAAGATGTGTAGTCAAATGTTTCGGAGGAACGTTCTGTGGATCATCTTCAGAGCCATAGCCACAGCGATA